CAGTCCTCTGCAGGAGTGGAGACTTGACATTGTAGTTGTAGATTGTTTAGTAGAGTGAATTGATCTCATAGGGGTTCGCAGGCTCTGAAGCTAGAGAGAAGAAATCTGCGTATTCTCAAGACCTGCTTATGAGCCCAAGAAGAGGGTTAAAGGAAGTGACTTAGAAATATAAATGAACAAATTTGACAGTATTACTTCAGTGGAGACATCTGCAGTTCCCTGTGACCAACTGGACTTGGGATGGGAAGTATGAGACAAAGATGCCAGTGAGTACTGATCTGTGCCTTGAGTCTTCCTGATTATAGATCCTGCACTGAGTTTTCTTTTCAGGAATAAGAAGTCATCTTACAGCAGTATATTACTTTAGTCATGGACCAAGGACACCTTAAATAAAAACACAAGTGCAGAGGTTCCCAGAAGTCTCAAATCTGTCTTTGAATCCTGAAATTGTATCAAAATTTTCATTTGGTGCATTTTTCCGGAAAGTGGGCCTATATATTATTTTTAAAATCATAGAGGCATTTGTATTCTTTAAGAAACATAATAAAGCCCTTTCCTCTGGACACCATCGCGGGCAGAAAGAACCAGGAGAACCTGCCTCTGCTCCGGGCACTGCTGCTGAAAAGCACTTTCCTCTGCATGCCTAGCATGGACAGAGAGAACCAGAAGACCCGCCTCTGCCTGCTGGGCACCACCACCAGAAGGTCCTTTCCTCTGCATGCCCAGTGTGGGCTGAAGGAGACAGATCCACCTCTACCCACTGTGTACTGCCACCAAAAGGCCACATCCTATTGGTGGCAGTGTGGGCAGAGAGAACCAGCAGATCCACCTGCACCTTCAAGGAGCTGCCACCAGAAGGCTCCTTCCTGCACGCAACTAGCAGGAGCAGCAGCACACAGCCAAGTAAGCCTTGTGTATCCATAGGCCACCATTTGAGGCCCTTGGTTCCCTCAGACAGCCATCATCCACTAGCAGGATCAGACAAACACACCCCTGTGTGTCTGCCATCCTCGTGGGAGTCCCAGTGTAGACACACAGGCTGAGAGAAGCATCCCCACCTCCATGCACCCCTGATCATTAGCAAAGTGTAGCTGCATAGCTCTGGAGAAGCCCGCTCCATACCCTCCTACCTCCCTGTAAATCTGGTATTAAAGGAACCCAGGTGTCTGTCCCATCCCCTTACACTGCTTAGGGGCAGCCAACTTGGGAAGTGCCTGGGACCCCACAACTAGGTGGTTGGAAGAAACTCAGGAAAATGTCAAGATGAAGGGGCAAAAGCAAACTCGGACCTGTAGCCTACACACAATAAGTCGCAGAGATATAGTCAAAGAAGAAAACGGAAGTCACACATCTGAAATCTCTTGAGAGGACAGCAACTGAAGTAAGGAAACAACTGCATGAGATTGTAAAAGCAGTCAAATCAGAAATAATGTCTCGGGTAAAAAGAAATCACAAACATACTGAAAGAATTGTTCAGCAGGTCTAAAGATAGAGACAATAAAGAGGAGCATAGGAGAATGATGGAAACCTTGAATGAATGTGGAAAGGAATTACAATGCATGGAACAGATTCAAAGAGAGATACAGGAAATTAAAAATTCAATTGAAAGCTGGCAAAACTGCTTGAAAGAGACTGAGGACAGACTTTCAAACCTTGAAGATAGGATTGCAGTTAGTTGATCATGAAAGGAAAGCTCTCAAAAATAACACAGAATCAGGAAATAACTCAATGGCTGCAAGATGAAGCAAAGAAGCATAATTTAAGAGTAATAAGTATTGGTAAAGAAGCAGAGGTCAACACAAATGAAATTAAAAGGATATTCACAGAAGTAATAGAAGAAAACTTTCCAAACATGGGAAGTGGATCTGGCATGCAGATAAGTGAGGCATATAGGACTGCCACTAGCCATAATCAAAGTAAATCTATACCCAGACATAATAATCAAGATCCCAGAAATTCAGCACAAAAACAGAATATTGAAAGGTGTTAGGGAAAAAAGACAGATCACCTATACAGAAAAACCAGTCAGAATCACAGTAGACTTCTCAACACAAACCATCAAGTCAAGAAGACTTTGGAGTGAAGTGCTTCACACCCTGAAAGAAAACAGCTTCCAATCCAGATTGATCTACCCAGCAAAATTACCTTTCAAAATTGGTGGAAAAATAAGATATTTCCATGATAAAGAACAACTGAAGAAATTCATGACTGCCAAACCAGCCCTAGAGAGAGATAAAGATGACTGTGGTTCCAGGAACAGCCGCAGAGGAGGATCACCAAACAAAACAGGCAGTTGAATGAAGGGGGAAAGTGGAGGGCTAATAGCAAGAGGATAGCAGGGCAGAGACAAACCAATGTATGCTGGTTGTAAACATTAATGTAGATAGGGAGAGTGGATCAGGAAACAAGATCATCGATATACTGTATACAAGAAACACATCAAACTGGAAAGGAAATTCATAGACTGAAAATCAAAGAGAAAACAATTGTTGCATGTGACAAAAGACCAAACACACACACACACACACACACACACACACAAAACGAGACTAACTTGCCCTTCAACCTCAGAATGGATAAGAAGGATATGGTATTTTCATGCAGTGGAAAGCTACCCAGCTATAAAGTAGAATGATCTCAAGGCTCCTGTGGGTAAATAGATGCAACTGGAGATCATGTTCATGCCCAAAACATGAACCCTAGCATAAGAAAAAGGAGTGAATGGGATCCAAAAGCAAAATATTTAATGTAAGAGTAAAGGGAGAAAACACCTGGGAGGGGAAAGTGGAAACTACTGTCAATTTCTTATTGTCTTATCTTGAATGCTTGCATTGTTTATATGGTTTTATTAGGTTTGGCTTTGTTCTGTCTTGTTAAATTTTATGCCTGTTGATGGTAGGGGCAGCTATTTTGAAAATAATGGGATATTTTATGGTAATCATGGTTTCCTATTGCTTTGAAGTCTTACAATGCTTTCATTCATTGTTTTGATGAGTTTCATTCTGTTTTGTTTGATTTTATTTTGTGTGATGGTATGAACAGCTATTTTAAAGAAAACAAGACATGATGGTAGCCAATGCTGATTTACTTTCATCTTGTTTTGAGGTCCTAACTTGCTTTTGTTCTGTTTTGATTGTTTCTATCCTGTTGTGGTTTATTTGATTTTATTAGGTGTGGTAGCATAGACATATTTTTTGAGGAAAATGAGCTATTATAGTAGCCATTATTCATTTCCTGTTTTTGGTTTTGAATAGTTTTATAGTATTTTGTTATGTTTGGTATTATTGTATGTGAAGGTATGGTCAACTATGTCAAAGAAAAGAGACATGGTAGTTACTGTTGATGACTGGTTGTCTTGTTGTGAAGTGCTGTGTTGCTTGCATTGTTCTGTTCTGACTTGCTTTATTCTGTTGCTTTTGTTTTATTCTCTTTAAAATAAAAATTTTTTTTAAAAAGAAACAATAAAAGTTCGCATCACTGAGGTTGTGAGAGGAATAAATTAGAAAATGAGATTTTAGTCTCAAATTTGCTATGTACAGGTTTATTAAAAATAAAATTACGTTTAGAAATTTACCTGTGATTTAAATTTGTGTGGCTAAGCATGCAGATAAACACAGTGTATGGCAACACAGATAGAACCTACCCAATTTTTTTCTGAGCAAGCTGCTTCTTTAGGCCTTCTCCTTGGATACTAGACCTTCTCTAAGACCCGTGGACATGATCTTTTTAAAACTGAATACTTCTGTTTCATCCACAGCTACAAATTTTTTTCTGTTCTTTGAGGTATGGCTTGTTGTTAAATTACCAAGTAATATATATAAATCTCTAGGGCATAAGTGGAAGAGATTATCTGCAATAATCTCAGCCATATTATTCAACTTAAGATGCTTGAGTCTAGTTGTGAAATGTCAACACAGCTAAATCCCAGCACTAGGGATTCGTAAAGCAGAAAAGATCTTGACTTGATGTAGTCATATATTACTAAGAGAATGTTCTGGTCTTTTGTGAAAGGAATTTGGCAATCTGCTTTTCCTTTCATTTTGTTTTCATAGGAGTTTTTTAAAGTTGAAATTTTTATAGTGTCTTCAATTTGTTTTCCTGTAGAATTTTAGGCATTATATATGTATGGGAAAAACTCAACTTGATATAAAAAAAATCCAGACAATTCAGAGTAACAATGTTTTACTGTAATTGAAGAAGATTATTACATTATCACTTAATAGGAAAGCTGTCTGTTGGCTCCGCGAGTATGTTTGGTGCTTGGTTTGAAACACTGAGTGCATTCCACAGCCCAGCCAAGTTGGCCTCAGTTCATGCACAGCAGATTGCCTGCTGCAAGGATAAATAACCGTATTTTTTAATTGAATCACTTTAGTGTTTTTCTTTATGTATTTGAAGAAAAATAGGGAAAAAAGTTACATGTGTGTTATTAAGCAACAGTATTTTTCTTACTCTTGGGTTTATTTTAACATTCTTCAAATATTTTGACTTTGTAGTCTCTTAAATTGCTTGCTGATAAAACATTTCACTGTTTCCAGGGTTCTATGGTTTTGCCAAAATATAGTTACAGAAGTGTCTCTACTAGATCTCTTCCTTGCAATACAAAATTCCACGTAATGATAGGCCTCAAAAAGGAAAATTTGGTTTCTATGATTTAAAGTGTCAGCTGAATTGGAATGTTAACAGCTAGAACTGCTTTTTGTAAAACATGTATTTTTCACTCAGTGTTTAAATACATTTACAGTAACTGTCTGGAGGTTCAGACTAATTCAGTTCTTTTTAGTATAGGCTGTGCGGCAATAAAAATAAGACTATATTTTAAACAAGAAAATGTTCATGTGCCATAATATTTATAGTAAGTTATATAACAGTTTTAGATGATGTCGTATGTTACGCTATATAAACTCTTTTCTTAAGCCAGACTCTTTGTATATATTATCTTTCAATGATTGTACACAGTGGTATAGTGTTTCACTTGATATGATCTTAATCACTGTTAGGTTGAACTTGAAAGAAAGTTGGAATCTGCAACTAAGTCTAAACTACATTACAAGCAGCAATGGGGCCGAGCCTTGAAGGAGCTTGCCAGACTTAAACAGGTACATAATTTATACATTATTCTTTTTATGTCTTTTTCCCTTGTTTCTTTATAAGTTTGGATGTTTGGCAGCATCTTTTATGTTCAGATGTCTGCATTTGAATCTTCAGTGCTTTTTAAAAAATGTGTTATATGCAAGATGCTTCTTTTTCACAATTAAAAACTCGAACTTTTAGATCTTTTCATTTTATTTTCCAGCTATTCTCTTTTCCAGAAGAAATTTGGGATAATTTATTTTGCTGTCACTTAGAAACAGTCACTTCTTTCTTTCTTAGTATTAATCTTTCTGTTGAACTACTTCAGGTAAGAGGAGGAGGTTGCAGTTTAAGGATAATTTACATTTGACATTCCTTAAATTTAAGAACATTTGAAATAGTATTCCCAGAAATAGTGTAATTCAATTAGAAAAGGCATCATAAGGGAATTTTTAAAGTTTAAAATCTATGATAGTAGTTTCCTGAATTTGTCTTATTTTTTTTCCTTCCTATTAGACAACAATTACTGATAGATATTTTTTGGCATAATTTCTTCAAATGATTAAAAGAAAAGAAAATATAAATAGAGCGTTTATTTGACCTAAAACTTTTAAGAATTAATAATGGTTAGTTTATTCTAAATTTTTTTTTCCTTCAGTGTCAGTTTATTCTAAATGAAATTGGGTATATTAGTGTCTTTTAGGTTTGTGTTTTTCCTAATGTATCTCCATAACCATCATATGCTATTAAATATGTTTGTGGTATTATGCCTAGAGTATACCAGACTGCATGGAATTAAGAAGTAATAGAGAGTTAAACATAGTTTACAGATAAATTGAGGTTGTATTACAAGTGGAGATAGGTAGCTACCAGTATATATAAAATAATAGTATGGAGAATGAATATATAGGATGGATATTCTTTACCCATTCTATTCTTGTGTATTCAATCTGCATATTATTATGGTGCTTGGGACCAGAAGTGTTTTGGTTTTAGCATTTTTCAGATTTTAGTATATTTGCCTATACATAATAAAATTTTGTGGGAGTAGACTCAAGTGTAAACACACCATTCATGTTTTATACCCACGTTGTATATATCACCTGAATGTAATTTTTCACAGTGTGTTTAGTGTGCCTGTGTTCTGATCATAGCTTGTTGTGAAGTCAAGTATAAAATTTCATATTATAACATCATGTCAGTGCTTCATGTTTCAGACTTGGAGCACTTTAGATTTTTAGAGTTGAGATATTCGGCGTGTTTTTCTAGTGCTGACAACTAAGTGTGGGCATTATGTATAGTACTAAAGGCCTATAGTCAGGGCAGCGTCCTGGGTGTAAGTGAGGCATAGGCCTTCTTTTTTAGAGAGCTTGGATTTAGAGAGCTTGGGTTTAGAATAAGAAAGAAACAGCTATAAATATAAAATTTACTGCCTCATCGTAAAAGCCCTGAAAAGAGCCATACAGTCAGGAAGGAAAAATACCTCTGTTTAATAGGCTTAGGAGAGGTGTTGCCGATGAGAAGGTAGTTGAGATGGACCTCTGGAGATAAATCGATAAGGTTTAAGATTTAAATGGTAGGGGCTGGGGATTTAGCTCAGTGGCATAAGCACCTACCTTGCAAGCCTGTGGTCGTGAGTTCCATCCCTGGTACCAGTAAAAATACAAAAAATAAATAAATAAGTAAAGATTTAAATGGTAGAGTGTTGTGACTTGGGGAAATAATGAGGGAAATAGAATATACAGAATGATCACAGCAAAGAAGCATGAAATGGGAAGTCATAGCCCGTTTTTGAAAGCGGAGCAGGGCGGATGTTATTTCCAGTGATCAGAACTAAACGTGAAGTGGAAGCAGAGCGGCGCAGTGGAAGACTCTTGTCAAAGATGATGCCAAAGACTCGAGCCGTGGTCTCTGGAAAGAGAGTTTCCGAGTTGAAAATACGGTTAGTGAGAAGCTAATTGGAGGTGGGAAGGAGATAAGATTTGTGGACTTCTTCATTTTTTTACAGAAAAATTCCACAAGCAGTAAGAAATATGTCTGTTGTTGAGAGTATGACTGAACCGAAAGAAAGAGACAGTCTTTTGCAGAGATGTTTGAAGCTGTGCCAGATAGAACCTGAAATTCTTATGTGTGAGGAGGAAGGAAAGCTGGTCAAGAAAATGGTAACTAGAGAGAAAGAGTGAAGATCACTGTAATGATGCTGGAAGAATGCTTAGCACTTACCGAGGGCTCAGGGGCCTGTGCTAAACAAGCCCTGCAGAGTTTTCAGGTAACACTAACCAATGTCCTGACATACAGGTACTGTTAATTCCTATTTTAGAAGTGAAGAAGCTGACTTAAGTTAAGTTGCATCATATAGGTACTAAGGTTGAGCTAGAACTGAAGTCATTTGACAGAACCCAGCCCTTTCTTTTCCATACTATCACAGTTTTAGTGCATAGAAGTCATGAAATAAAAGAATTTCCAGCGGAAGAAAGTGAGGGACAGAAGACAGGGGTTTCTGACAAGAGTATGCAGCAGGAGCAGTCATGAGCTATTGACAAATCCAGGCAAAGAAAATGACGCTGACTGTTAGGTTAGCTCTGATAATGAGAATGGGGGGGGGGGGGCAGCGCTTAATACAGAATCCTGACACCAGGACATTTAGGTTACATTTAGTATAGAAGGAGGAGTGCTTATGCAATTGGAAGCAAGGAAATAATGTGATAAGAACAAGCTGTTAAAGTTACAGGATACAAACTTTATCAGACACAGAAGTAGTAGTTAACGTGGCAAGAGTAAAGAGAGCTGGGTTACCGTCTGCTGTTACCGTCACCGTGACTTTGGGAGCTGAATTTCTCTGGTTAATCTTGTTATTAGTACAATGAGAGTTTTTTCTTCACAAGTTGTTCTGAAGGTAAATAAGTGGTCTTATGAAGTGTTTAATGCAGTATTCAGTAACTTAATAGCTGTTGTTAAAGGGAGATGATGACCCTATTATGTAGTATTCCTGCTTTTAGTCCATGAGGACCTTGCTAGGTGGTAGCCTTGGGAGTTGATGAATAGAGCAAATGCAGGGATTTTGTCACTGAGTAACTGTTCAAAGAAGTGATTTCGGCAACACTTGGAAATTTTTATGTATGAGAACAAGAATATTACTTTATAGTGATAATGATGGGAAGGTGGGTAGACTATTGTTGAATAAAAATAATTTGTATTAAATGGTAGTTTTAACAGATATTTTATAGAAAGATACAGAAGAGTAAAGCAAGGACTAAATGTGCAGATATGCAAGTGTCAGTAGGTGAACTGGTAAAGACTGAATGTAAAGGGATGTGAATGCATTGAGTGTGAAGAACATCAGCGTGTGACTCATTTGCGCTCATTTATTCATTCAGCAAGTGCCTATGGAGAGCCAGCGATGGTCCTTACACAATGCTAGATAATGTGGATATAGCAGTTGTCTCTCAAAGCTGAAAGAGAATATCTCAAAGATAAAATGTTTCAGATAAAAGTATTAGATTGGGAATTCTTTCAAGCTTTAAAATGAGAAAGCGTGGAAGATGGGATTTGCTGTTGAAGCTGAGTAGTGAGTAAGAAACTACTACAGTAATGATTAGTTATGAGCCATTAACAAAATTAGTTGAAAAGATGTAACAGTGTTAGCTGTTGGGTAAAGCATTTTTGGGGAGAGAAATGATTAATCAATAATAATTACTGAAACAGTTTCATTATAATCAACATTTCTTTTTACTTTAAATGGGACATCAAGTTCATATGTGTATATTGTAAATGACATTTTAAAAAAAATATTTTCACCACTGAAACTATATGTGAAGTTTAATAAATAGGATGACTTAAATTCACAGTCTTTGTTGGTTTTACCCTGGGATATTGAGGTGGTCTCATTTCAAAAGGAAATTCAGTAAAAGGCGAAAGATTTATACGATCTGAGGAGAAACCAGAGTATCAAGGAAATTCAGTATGGAGGTTCTCACCCGATTAACTCCCTGCACAGGCATCCTCATACTTTTCCCTGTCTGTACCTTCTTCCCATTTAATCCATTTTCTACCTGTGTAATCTTTATAATCTGTGTAATATGAAATCTTTGTTCTCCCTGTGTATTTTCTACCCTTTAGCCCAAAAGCCATTAGCAAATTAATCTTTGTTCGTGTTCGTAGTAAAGAGAGGCAGTTCCAGAAGTTCAGATGCCTTCTTTCTCTTGAGTTACTATAAATTTATTAAGGAAATAAAACTGAAAGAAAATGAAAGTAAGCGTTTCAGGCTTTGAGGGCATTAATGTTCATTCCTTCTCTTTCACTTCTTATTCCACGCACTTTCTGCTTTAGAAACACTGTAAACAAAGTTTAGGTCACTAAGAATCATTGCTGCTCTCCAGACCAAATTGAGGTGCAGCAAACTAAGAAAAGTAGCAGATTTGGGGATTGCCATAGTGAATTTTGCTTTGCAACTGTTTTTAAAAGATTAAAATTAAAATTACATCAAATTGGCACATTTCTTATGTGTGATCGTTACTTTAAAAACATCCCCTGAAGTTTTTTACTACAAACACATTGTGTTTGAATATGAAATTGGAATGGTCTATCTGGTTTTGTTCAGAAGATTGTTTGTGCAACTTACTGTTTAAATTGGATTAGGACCATGTTAATTTTATATTGCCTCTGGTGAACAGCCACAGGGCTGTAATCTCTGCCAGTACTTTGTCACATCAGAATCCTCTGGAGGGCCATCCAAGACATTCATGTAGTACGGATTAGATGGTGAAAGCCGTATCTTAGATTGTTAATAAATGTTAATGACAAAAACCAGCTGGTAAAGCTTGGAAATAAGATCTAATGTTGATGCCCATTGCCAAAACAATGTTTAGACAGAAATTCCATTACTCAAAAGTGACTTAGCATAGTTAATTTGTGAATTAAAATATCATAACCTTCTAACTATTCAAGGTTCTGATTCACAACCATAAAAGTTGTAAGCTTTGTAAAGCTTTTCTTTTGTAAGCAGGACAGCAATAGCTGTAAAAGTGTAGCATAAAAGGAGTCTTGATTTAAAAACAAGGAAATGAAACCCTTAGATTCTAAGTTTAGTATCTTGAGACATAGTTAAAATTTCTACTACTTAGACATTTAGGAGACAGTTTTTCCTTTTTCCTCCACTTTGTGAAAAGGTACTACAGAAAGATTTTAAAACCAAAACAAATACTTAAATTAGTCTACAGATACCTGAGTTAAGGTGGTCTGCTTTAGTCCTTATGGGCAAAATAGCATACTTACATATTTACTTAAGAAACATTTAGAATATAGTTATGGAAGCAGACAACAGCCACCACTTTAAGTGACTGAGTCATTGTTCTAAAATATGAATTTGTTGTAGAAAATTTAACATTTTTATGTCACATATAAAACTAGGTATATGTTTGTTCCCAAGACAGAAAACAGAACAAAGATTATGGGTAGGATGTGGGTCCTTTACCATATTTGTGCACAGTAGATCTGTTTAAAACTAAGCTGATAAATTTAGTTAAAACAACACAGACTTCATCAGCTGACATCAGCACTATCTTGTCCAGCCTCCTGCTTATCATAACACTCAGAGTAATTAATTTGATTAATTTATAAGTAATTTAGCCAGGGATGGGATGTAAATCTTTGTTTAAGAAAACAGTTGGAGGTCCAAGTCCTGGTTAAAAACTGTGTCTTGAAACCGTCCAGGCCCTCCTACTGGCTTGTCAGCTCTGGGTTATTTTCAGAAAACTTTACTTGAGTTCCTTAGTTTAGCTGTAAGTTTTTTCCCACAGCCTTACTTGGTATGTGGAGTGGGGGAGTAAGGAGTGGCCACTTTTTAGCCTCTGTTTAGTCTAGTGTATGTGTGTTTACATCTCCTCTCTGGATTTATAGGCAGCCGAGGCAAAATAAAGATTATACTCACTTGATTGAGGAGCCTTTAACCCAGAGCACCTGGTGTGAACAGGGTTTCCTTCACGGACCTCTAGAAACAGAGAAAGAGAGAGAGAGACAGAGAGAGAGAGAGAGTGTGAGTATGTGATTGTTGGTAATGCTGCATGCTTAATTACAGCATTAAGGTATTTAGAGGATTTTCTGGTATGTTTTAGAACAGTGAAAGTTTTATAAGGCAACCTATGATAGTTTTTTTTCTGCTTCATATTTTTATTCCTTTATCTTAAAAAATTGCAAAGTTTTGAATACCATATAACATAGAAAATAAAAATCACCCGTACTTTCAATTTTCTCCTCAGCCAGCAATAATGATTTGATACATTTTTGTCCAGATACTTTTCCTCTTTTTTTAAAATTACTTCCTAAATGAAATACATTTCAAAGACAAGATTCTTATGCCTTCCTCAACAATGCTCTACTTTAAGAAACAGCACTACGAATACTTTGGAAGCCCTTTGTGCTTTTTCTCAACTGTATCTTCTTCCTGTCCTGAATTTAGTATTTATTATTAATATGCATCTATAAGACATTAAAAATATGTCTTTAAGCGGCATTGTACATAATTTGTGATATATATATGTATCTGTCTGTCTGTATATATGAAATCATCTTGTGTGAATATGCTACAGTTTTTAGTCAGTAGAGGACATATTTTTTCCAGATTTTCTTACAATAAAACAGTACAAAAGATTTCTTGTGTATGTAAGACTTTCTCAACATTTATAACTAAAAGTGAAATTTCTGTCCATTTGACCCAGCTGTTCTCTTCGTAGGTATCTTCCCTAAGAATTAAATATGTAATATTACAGTGTATTAATTAATTAAATATGTAATATTACATGCATACCTGTGCTTACAGCAGCATAATTGATAATAGCCAAATCTTGGAAGTGGTCCATGTATTCATAAACAGATGACTGGATAAAGAAAGGGTGGTATTTATGCAAGGTGAAGTGCTACTCTGCCATAAATAAGGATACATTTGAGTCAGTTGTAAGAAAGTGGATGCACCTCAACACTATAATGTTGAATGAAATAAATCAGATTCAAAATAACATTTAAAGTCAAGCAAAATAAAAGTCATACATATACAGATTTTTGGATGAATCTGTAGAGGAAAAGGAAAGACATTAACAGAGGTGACTTGAAATTAATAATCAGGGGCAGCTATTAAAGTTTATAGGAACATCTTTGTAAAATGAGCCATTTCTTGTTTGTTGCTCTTTCCACTTGTCACTGTGGCAGCTCCTTGGGATGACGGGAGTCATTTTCTCTCCTTCAAGTCTGGTATCCTGTGATGTGCAGCTGACCTCAGTTATTAATATGGCCACAAATGATTATAATAGCACAAAGAGAAATGAAGTATTCAGGGAAAACTTGGACTTTCCTAGGGTAGAGGTGATTTATAGAGTTGGCAGTGCTTGGCTGTATCGTGTATGTTGTCAAATAGGCTTATAATCGTAAGTCACAGTTCTATGAAATATGTATATTCCTGATAGGAGGTGTCTGGTTTCTTTCTTTCAAGAGAGAACAAGAAAGTCAAATGGCTCGTCTTAAAAAGCAGCAAGAAGAATTGGAGCAGATGAGACTTCGTTACCTAGCTGCTGAGGAAAAAGATACAGTGAAAACTGAGCAACAAGAGTTGTTGGATATAAGAAACGAGCTGAACAGGTATAATAATTAAAAGATCATTCCTCTTTTCTTCCTACAAAAACAAAAGCTCTAGTAGGACAGCCTTTCAATTGGGTCATTTGGTCCAGGGAAGCTATAACTTTAGATCTGTCAAGGGTAGAGTAGGCCGTATGTAAAGTGTGTAAGACATTAGGAAGGTTCCGTTGGTATGACCTACAAAACTTATAATCAGAAATGCTGTCGTAAGCTAAGCACATAGCACTTTTGGTTTCAATGCTGTAGATGAGAACAGAAGGTTGGAAAGCAAGGCTCATGTTATAATTCAGTAATTTGTAACATCTCCCAAGCTTAAAACATTGTAGCCATCAAATAAATATGTGTTAAGAAGAAAGCAGTACAGATTATGCCCTGTAAACCTGGCACTTAGAACTGACTCTAAAATTGATGTTCATGCGTACATCTTCTAAATTCAGTTTAATTCAGTTCTGAACCAGCTTATTATAGAGATTGCATTTTTCTTATGTATAAAATATTGTTTTTAATAATTATAATGAAAAATTATATTGTATATAAACATTTCCATATTATAAGTTAAAAGGTTTTGGTACTTTTTTGAGATTAATACCAAGGCTAGATTTAAAAAAAATAGGATCAGTTATATTCCTATATATGAACAATGAACACAGAAAACAAAATGAAAAACAAAGTACTATTTCAACTGCTTACAAAAATAGTTACAAATCTAATAAAACATGTATATGACCTATGTGCTGAAAACAAAAATATGCTTATAAATAAATTGGAAGAACTTCTAGATAAATAGAATCAATGTCTGTGGATTGAAAAATAATTTTCATATATAGAGATATCCTAGGACACTTTCATCAGACATGTATATGAACTGAAGCACCTCCCTTCCAAATTCTCTTTGGAACCCTCACCTCTGACGTGATGGTATTTGGAGATGAGGCTGCAGAGGTGGAGCCCTCAAGATGGGATTAATGCTCCCATAGGAAGAAACACCAGAAAGTATGCTCAATGTCCCTTTTCCCCTGCTGTGTGAGGCGCAGTGGAAGATAACTATAGACAATGATGATGCTGGAACCTGGCTCTTACGCGTCTACAGAAGTATGAGGAATGCTGGGGATTTAGCTCAGCGGCATAAGTGCTGCCTTGCAAGTGTATGATCGTGAGTTTGATCCCTGGTACCGGTAAAAATACAAAAAAAAAAGAAAGTATGAAGAACTAAACTTGTTTTAGCGAGCTATCCAGTCTGTGCTATAGTTTGCAGTCAAAATCAGTTTAAGACAGTGTGCTGTGCTCTAACAAAAATGTACCAGTTCCTGAATAAAACTTAAAAATACATTCCCCCCAAAAGTCTATGCATTAGCTTTCCCCACTTTACCAATGGGGAATATGTGCCAAGATCCACCCACAGATACCTAAAACAGTGGGTAATACTGACACTGTTACACCTATGATAAAATTTAATATATAAATTAGAATAAGAGATTAACGGTAACTAATAATAAAATAGAGCAAATAAAATAGTTTACTTAAATAGAAGTTATGTGAATGTCATTCCTCTTGAACAATATTTTATCATACTGTACTCAAAACCTTGTGATATGCAATGACACAGTGGCTACTTGAAAAGATAAAGTGGATTATTTAAGAATTAGCTGTCTATATAAGGGTTGCTTAAACATGCAGTGACATCTGAGGGATCGCAAGGGATGAAGGTAGTAGCCATTGCAACTGGACAAACTGGGGATTCATGTCCTCGGCAAGATGGACTAGACAACCTCGTGCCACTCTAATAGCATGTAGTTCAAAAGTTCTGAGTGGCTTTCTCCATGACTTCTTATTTAATATTTGACTGCAATTGACCATTGGTAACTGAAACTTCAGGACATAAAATGATACTATATTGTGTGTGTGTGTGTGTGTGTGTGTGTGTGTGTGTGAGTGTGTGTGTGTGTGCACGTGAGCGCTGCTTCATAGTGATTGCTAACCTGAAATACTGTTGCAGTTACGATTAAGAAGAAACGGGTGCTGTAGAGAAGCCCAGTGTAACATAGTAGTTAAAATGTAATCTAGAATCAGAATGAATTCTACCTTCATGATGTATTAGCTGCATCACCTTGGAAAAAAAAAGTACTTAAGTCTCTTTAATCTCCTCATCTCTAAAGAGGACATCTTCCTCAGAGAATTGCTTTAAAGACTAAAAAAAATGAGGCAGGGATATAAGGCACTGACCCGACACACAGTAAAAGTATAATCAGTATGAGCTGTTGTTTTAGGTATTAATGTAAATAAATTTGAAATAGCTTAATTAAGATTTTGTTTAATTAGTACTGGTAATTCTGAAATATACACATAAAATAAATTTTAAAATGTTAATGGTAGGTACAGAAACAAGAGCGAACCAGACTTGAAATAACTACATTCATGGCAAAATGAGTTTTGGGTGGAGATTTTCTAGCAGATACTGATTGTGTATCTATAATATTGTAGACTTGGGTGATATTATACATTAATAAACTATAGCATAATTTTGCCTTTCACATTTTTGCTGTCATATATGTAGCATCAAAATCAAAGAGTGCTATGTTTTGCTGGCATGTGTATAAGGAGCATTTTTAGCTATCAAATTTGCGTATCTTATTAATAGCTTTGTAAGTTAGGGTTCAGAGAACTAAAGCTAACTATAAATATATAAATACGAGTAAAATCCTGTATATAAGAAAAATCAAGTGATAGGCAAGATGTAATAAAACAGTTTATGTGACGAAGAGGTCACTAATAGGGTGCCTTGGCTCCCAAAGAATCAATGCACTCATAATGGAAATAATATTCAGTACTCAGCACTGCAGAATTAACTCAAGTGTTCTTACCAGTGTGTAACCAATCTTTTGGTTAATCAGCTCCCTCTTGTGAGGTCTACCAGTGCAGCATTACCAGGACAGTGAGAGGCCACGATGTATCATGTCGTCTAGTGGGTTGGAAGAATGAGGGATATTGAACTTGGAGAAGACAGCTCTTGGGGAAAGGTTAGACCACTATCTGCAAACCTCTGGAGGGCTACCATACTAAAAAAAATTAAGAGCACTGTTGAGTTTAATATGAGGAGAAACTTTCTAACAGAACAGTTCTATGAAACCAAAGGTTTCTGCTGACAGGAAGTGTGTGAATGAGTCCAGATACAGCATTTGTTATGAATATTGTCCATATTTCCTTTGATAACACTAAGGGCTTTTTCAGCACTAGGTTCCAAAGTTCTATTGATTTGCACTGTTTTAAATATTTTGTAGGAATAATCTATCAGTTTTGTCAAAATTATGTTTGTCCTTCATGAATGAACAGGTGATACAGGAAGGGAAGTGGTTAAACTTGCTAGTCTCTATTATAAAGGCACTGTATTGATGCTTACAGGGCCCCTCTTCCTCGTGACCTTAAGAATTAGGGTAAAGGAATCAGCTCTTCAGAAATCTGCTTTTGGACTGGAGGCTGTGGCTCAGTAATAGAGCACTTGCCTAAATGTATGCCAGGCTATCACTTTGGTCACCAGTGTCACCACAAAGAGGGAGAGGGAGGGAGGTAGAGAAAAGGAAGGAAGGAAGGAATAAGGAAAATAGATCGCTCTACCCTTGACACATCTTCATGCTTGCTCGAGTTCAGTGGGAAAATTTGGGACTTGTCTCCTGTGTCTCCAAGTACAGTGTCCCTCACTATTGAGGCTCCCCCCCCCCCCCGGAGAACAGAGATGGCATCTTTCTTGGACTGTGTGCTTGAGTCTCTTTTTTTCTTGGGTGAGAGACTCCAGGGTTGCTGCCCTTCGGGCTGCCTTCCCTAAAGCCAGTCCTCCTGGTAACAGAAAGGAGAAAGTCGCTTCTCACTGCCTCTCCCCACCTCCCATGTGCCTTGCAAATTCACAAGGGGTTTGCTTTTCTTTAGGCTCAACTGCTTTATCTTATCAAGACAGGACTTAGGAATAGTTACAAACAAACCATTCTGTAGCCAGTTACCAGATAAATATAAAGTTAATATTTCATTGTACATTGTAAATTAAAATACCTTCCAGAATCTCAGTATATTTAACACTGTAACAATAGTAATGCTGTTATTACCATTGGTCCTTAGTTAAGGCAGTATGACCAACAGTCATCTGTTGAACTACTAAAACCCCAGAGCAGCACCAGATTTTTAGAGTCTGCTGCTGGCAAAATGAAGTTGTCGGTAATGTAACGTGACTTTAGCGCGTGTACGGCCCTGGAACCACACACCTTTCCTCAGTTTCACTCTCCGTAAGTGATGGAGATATAAATTCCACAACAGGGTGGACCTTTCTTTTTGATTTACTGTAATAGCTCCATACACTGTTTGCAAACTGTTGAATGAATTTAAAGAAAAGCTTTATGCTCAACAGCAAAGGTTTAATTACAACTTAAAGGATGTAATAAATGATTAAATGGTGAGACAACATGAAGCCATTGATAAGAACGATTAATATGTAGAAAAATAAATGGCAGGAGTAGTATGTATATGTGTCACATAGATAATACTTTTAGAAAAATACATACTTAAAATACAGGCATACATTTTTAATTAAAAAGAAATACAGAAAAATGGCACTCATTTTGGTTGTCTCTAGATGAGATTGCCAGTGATTTTTAGTTTCTTTATACAGCCCCACCATTTCTGTAGTTTTGGTGTATTTCATTATTAGAAGAATTACTATTTAAAATTGCTTTTTAAAAATTTTGACTTGCCTAGCCAAGCCATTACTTTTTGTGTTCTCCTGAAAATATTACTAAAACTTACTCTAATATCAGATGATTTTGTTTTGAAATAGCGGTTAGAAAAAACAAAACAGTACTCATTGTCTGCTAACACGGCATTTGTTCTTGGCTTACAGATTAAGGCAACAGGAACAGAAACAGCGCCAGGATTCCAGGGAAACCGCCAGCGGGAAGACGGATGACCTGCGCGGCTCGGCGCTGGAGGAAGGCATGGATGATTATTTGACTCGCCTGATAGAGGAAAGGGATACGTTAATGAAAACGGGTGTATATAATCATGAGGACCGGATAATCAGTGAACTTGACCGACAGATCAGAGAGGTTTTAGCTAAAAACAGTGCCAGTAATTAATGTTCAGAAAACCTTTACAGAGACTTTAGGTTTAAATTTCAATTTTACTGTAAATCTCACAGATGAAGAAAATGGGTATTTTTAAATGCTATTTTCAATTTTTTATAAGCAGAATTTTGTATGTCACTGTATAGTATTTATTTGATTTTATTTATGCTACCTCTCCTATGCTGGTTTTATTCATAATTATACTTTGTATACTCATTTTAAAATTTCAGTGTTCCTCAGCTTATAATCTGATGACTGACTTTTATAACAGCTTTCCAGTAAATTTGTTCTAGGAGAAATGACTGTAGTAATTTCCAGCTATATAATTTTTCTTGTTGCTCTGTAAGAGTATATGTTGCACTTTAATAATTTCGTGTCTTGTTCCTTTTGAGTATAAATATCTTATAAGTTAAAACCAATTAAAAATGTAGCAGGTTTTTTAACTCATACTAGATAACATTTTCCCTTAATTTGTAATTATTTGCAAGTGACAAGTTTCAAAACAAAGTAGTATCAATGCAGAGAAACCATATGACATATTGGGTGACAAATTAATCATTTGTGTAACATAACTGCATATTAAACTTGTTTTAAGAACTATTGAATTTTAAAATTTTCAATATATTCGTGACTTCTAAAAGCATAAATTATTTGCTTACCATGTTTCTTTTCTGTCTCCTGCTCAAGACTGAATTGTCTTCTTTTGTTAAAATTAGATTCCCTTTTATATTCCAGTGATTGAAAACCTAGCTGTTAAGCCACCTGTAACACGATATAGAAACAGACACAAAGGATTTAGCTGGAAAGATGAAACAATTTTTTTTACTCCAATTTTAATCAGCCTTTTTCAGAAGTACATGAGATTTAAGTCCTTGGGTTTATGAATGTAGTGTCGTGTCTGTCTGAACTTTAGTTTCTTTACGTTATATTCTCAGAGCCAACGTTGTTCTCAGAGCAGCACTTTACACACACACACATACGTGCACCCTTTTTATAGTACTGACACTGATTACTCACAAATTCACAAATTAGGTAGGGTTTTAAAATATGCAGTTTAAAAATATGACTCTCAAATGTAAGTATGTACTTTAGGAGGTATATACTAATTATCAGTAACTTCAATAAAAGCAGAGTAAGTTACTCAATAACATTAAATTAATGTTCTGTTATTTTCAACAAAGTGTATTTCTTGTTTGGGAAGTTAAAGTCCATATTTACATTATATGTTTTTCCCTTTATTAACAAAGTATTAGTCCTCTTTAAAAAAGAAAGAAACCAGCAGTAAATAACAGAGAAATTAGTCACTGAAGGATGGAGTAATGAATCAGCTAATCATAGCAGGAATTTGAAATATTAATTATGGTTGTTTTCGCTCATTGATTTTTATGCCACATGAATGGAACAAAAGTATTCTTTCTGATTCTACTATGACAACCTTTATTTGCATTGTGTGATATCTGTAACTTTTCCAACACTAGAGGGGGCCTTAGATTTAAAGAAATAAGAAAGATTTTTTTTGTAAATGTATGTGTGGTTTATTTTGCCTTCTGTAAAGCAGTCTTTTGGCTTTTGCAATTTAACAAATAAAATAATAGTATACATCTTTGAGTTTTTGAGTAGTCTGTTATTTTTATTTCAAGTCATTGTATTTTTTATGTTTTCCTCAAATTTTAACAGTCTTTTGTAGGGCTTCAGTTGTAGCCATTCCTTCTGTAAGTGGCACTTTATATATTTAGACCAGTTGTTTTACTAAATTGTAATGCCAGGGCATGAATGAATATAACCACAGTAGCTAAGTCAGTTAGTAGACAGATAAGAGGAAACCTTTCATTATATATTTTTAAAGTATAATTTACCCCTGAAATTTCTGTGATCATGTTCCCTGAAGAAAGACTATAGTTTTCATTTCTAAGGGAGGTTGCACGTGTTCCAGAGAGGCACTGTGTCACGTCTGCCAAGTGTCTTCAATGCCATGTCTATGTGAACTGCAGAGTTTCCTTCTCAGGAGTGTCGCAGTGATTTCTGATTCTGAGTTACTGTTGCTCAAGCCGGTATGGGAAGTTTGGGTGTGATTTACGGGTATACCAGGGGTAAAGGAGACACCATCTAGTCTAGGAGTTTGGTTAACTGCCTTGTCTAATGCTTGCCAGCCCGAATCTGAGTTCACAGATCACTCTGTCACACATTGCATGTCTGCAGCCACCTTGGATTGGCTTGGCCTGGTTCTTAGCATCTACAGGAAGGTCCCCCTTCTAGCCATATAGGAAGTTTACAACACTTACTGTCACTGCATCTAGTTTTTTAGTGACTACCTAATACGGATTTTTAAATTTTTTTAATTTACATACCCTTCAAAAGGTCTGCTTTAAACTATGCAATTCCATGGGGTTTTTTGTTTTGTTTTGTTTTGTTTTATATCCACAAAGTTGTACGTCCATTACCACTATTTAAAACATTTTCAGCTCTCCAAAAAGGAACCCTGGTACTCAGTAACAACCAATCCCTGTTTTCCCCTTCTTTTCATAACTGCTAATTTATCTTTGCCTTTGTGGATTCACCTGTTATAGACATTTCACTTGATATGGAAATTTTTAAATATTAAACCTGAAGTACAATTTTTCTGTGACTGGTTTCAACATTACATAACATTTTATGAGCTGCTGAATTAAGGAGATACATATGGTCAACATAAGGATGTAATATTTGCAATCGTTCTTTATATCCATCATCTGCTGAAGCATTGGTCAAAATTGACATTTTGATCTGATCATGCCCTTGCTATCTTACCAAAATTGCATGTTTTTCTGTATTTTGTAGAATTTGGAGGTATTAGAAAATAGCCAAACAGAACATAAGTACTGCGAGGGCAGAGCCCAGGTCTGTCTTATGTTCAGTAATGTGCCAGAACTGAAATAGTGCCTGAAATAGTGCACACAGATAGTGTAATTGTCCCTGTCAGATAATGTAGCTGTCTCAGTGTCCTGGATGACTCATTCCAGAAGACCTGTGGATATCAAATTCTGGTTGCACAAGTCCCTTTATAAAATGGTGTAGTATTTGCATTTGGTCTGTGCACATTTTCACATACAATCTAAATCACCTCTAAATTACATATAATGTGTAACAATGTAAACACTATAAAAGTAGTTTTCCTACTGTATCATTTAAGAAATAATGACCAAAAATTGCATACATATTCAGTATAGAGTGATACAATTTGTAAAAACATTTTTATTCAGTTGGTTGAATCTGCAGAATCCTCAGATGCAAAGCCCACAGATACAAAGGCTGACTGTATTTGCTAAACATGAAAAAACAAAAATTATGCATAATCTTCTGGACAAAATAGACATAAAATATTTTGATTACTGGGATGCTGGGAATACAGACTTCCCTAATCTCATGCGTTTATGAATTTGTGGCATGACTGGCCACACCCTATTTAGTAGTTCTGTCTGTTTTTAATGAAACATTCAGAAACATTACCTTCCTTCAGTTCACAAAGATGAAGTAGAACAGGTTAACAGAGAGCAAGGAGGTAGTTGCTTTTTAATGGGTACAGTTTCTGTTGGGTGATCAAAATGTCCTGGGCCATGGATGTGTGGATAGAATCTCAGTTCTTCCTTTTTCCTACTGACAGCCAGAGGGTGGTTTCGCAGACGGCTTTCACGCTTCTGACCCTCACTTCTCTAGGTGACCTGGCTTGATTAGCTAAGGCGTCTTCCTGTCAGAAGCAAACTCTCCCCAGGCCACCAGTCACTTCTCACTCCTGCATCCCTGACAGGGGCCACAACCCCACAGAGCCTGCAACACTCCTCCCTGTACCAGGGGTCAGAGCCCAGTGCCATTGTCCCCCAAATCCCAAGCCCCAGTGGGCCATGATCAGCATTGGGTGCCCTTTCTGGAATCTCCTTGCAAGCAGTAGCAGCAGCAACAGCAGCCGTATCTTCTGCACCACATGTCCATGGAATAGGTAAAAGCTGTCCTCCAGCATCCACTTTTCCCACACCTCCATCCCGTTATGATGACAGCTGAGGCTGTCTGAACACCCACAACTACTCTGGGAGATGTTTGCATTGGCTGCAGCGGGTTCATTACATGGACCTATCCCAGATGTCCCTGCTCCCTGTCCTACTACTTTAAAGGTCCCAAAACAGGTCTATGAAATTCAGGAGACTGTATACGTACAGCCTGCTGGGGGGGGGGGCTGTCTATAAACACTTCTCATATCAAGCTCAGTCCAGCAGGAGAGAGCCAGCCCTCTGGTGAACTGCCACCCTCTGATGCAGCAGTTCCCAATAAAAGCCTCTCTGGTCGTCTGTTGCCCACTTGTGCTTGTCACCTTGGGGAGAGTGCACTGAGTGTGTTGCTATAAGAAAGAGCTGATAATGTTAAGGCCTCTTGGCCCTGAAGAGCCAAGGGTGGCAGAGGCCTATAGAGACCCAAAGAAGCCTCCAGAGACCAGTGGAAGGACTCCTTGAAAGGAAACGCAAGTGGCTGGGAAAGCTCTAGAAGGCCATCGAAGTGGACACGAGTCCTAACTGCTCAGCAGCACAGCAGTGACGGAGATGCCAGGAGCTACAGTACTAAGAGCTGGAGCAGGAGTTACTAAGCAGCACTGAAATTCAAAGCTCAGCTGTAACGCCCAGGATCCCGAGCTCCTGGGATACAGAGCCTGGGTCCTCTTCATAGCCGAGGAACTGCAACTTTGCCAGTTTGTGATTTCTATCTGAACTGAGCAAATTCACCAGCTGATTTGGTGATAGTAAAAAATGTCATAGAATGCTAAATATACTTAAGTATGTTATAGACTTTAAAATGGTTACAATGGTAAACTTTATATCTGTTTTATTATAATTGAAAAAGTTTCTATCTTTACATCAACTCTGCCTCCCCAGTATCCTCATGCTGGATGTTTTCTACAGAGTCACTTCTCCAACCAGCCTAAAGGTGGCCACAAAGATTCTTCATTATATGTTGGTAACACAGTTGTTAATCTAAGTCTGAAATTAGTAAAAATTAATTTCTAACTCTTAAATCATGAGTTCTAAAAATAGATTTCAGTATCTTTGAAACAAAATTTTAATGGCTTAAGATTATATAAAATTTAATTCACCATACCTTTCTTAAAAAGCGTAATGGTAAACAAAAAACACTTATTTATTAAATTTAACAGTCCATATGATGGACCTACATTGGAACAAGAATTTTTTAAAACAGGTTGCTGTTTGTCTAAATTAGGCTTAGCACCTTTTGTTGGTGGTAGGCAGACTTATTTTTGGTTGGTGATTTTGTTAGTGGATAAAAGTGACTTGTGTGGGAAAGTCTGGTTGAATAATTTTTTTTTAAAATCGGTACCAGGGATCGAACTCACGACCGCCTGCTTGCAAGGCAGGCGCTTATGCCGCTGAGCTAAATCCCAGCCCCAAATAATTTTTAATTGTGGGCTGAAAATTTAAGTTCATCTTTGACATCTGCGTTCTGGTCGCTCTGCCCCTGGCCTTGCAGCCGCATTTACCCAGAGCTTTTCAGCTCCTGCTCTATAGTGTGCTGTGTCCTGACCAGTCAGCCTCTGCTTCCAGGACTGGCAGACTTGCTCATTCTTTTTCTTTCTCTCTTTTTTTTTTTTTTGTAAATGGAAAAATAGAATTGCCTGAATACCTACATTTTTCACTCAAAACAAAAGACTAGATTGCTCACTGATTTTGTTACATAACCCGAGTTTGGCATCAAATTAGAAGCCACCATTGTTAGGAATGTAACTGTAGAAAGGCCGCACATACATAAATCCCATTGTAGTTCCTTCTCTGGGGGTTGTCGTAGTGTTTTCACTAGAAATGTTTGTACAGATGTAGGCCCTTCAGATATGAAGTTGCTGAAGTGGAGACTCAGAAGTTTAGCTTTCAAATGGAAAGCAGTGGAAATCTGTTTAGAAAGATTAATTTATAGATAAATAATTTACTGAGTGTTTGCTAATGTACAGTAATCCCTAGAGGCTTTTAAAGATGTAGTCATTATGTTCTTAAGGTTCTAAGAATGTTAAACCTGTCACTCATAACACAAGAGCACTAAAATAGGACTCATTTATAATTTCTTCTTAGAAACACTTCACCCACAAATTCATAGACAAATATTTTTTTCTTTTTCTAATAACTTATCTAATAGCTGGACAATGGAGCCCTTTTCTTGATTAACATGTTAACTAGTCAAAAGCAAATAGATACACAAAATGAAAGCTGGCTTTTCCCCCATAGTTTAGATTAAAAGTTGGCAAGGGCAAACAAAATATTACTGAAAAAGCAAACTTTGACCCTACTGCACTTTGTTAGTGGATATTGACCTGACAGTGAGTCAATGCCTTATAAATTGTATTATACTATTTGTCTGAAAATCCTCTTTTTATTGAGTAGATTGAGCTGACTAAAAGCATTATTAAAGCACTTGTTTCATTTCTACTTCCAGTAATCAAAGATGAATATGTGGTTGTTAAAATTTCCATCTTTTTTTAAGAGTAGGAGAATGTATTGGGGAATAGAATTGGGGACTTGGAATAGCTGTGGAGAGACAAAAGAGGCCCTGAATGGATTGCCCCCACCATGTATTTCTTT